CCGAAGTTAAGCCACTGATGGCCCAGTCAGTACTACGGTTGGGGACAACGTGGGAATACTGGGTGCTGTAACTTTTGTTTTTTGAACGAAAATTATTAATTATTAGTCTTTGCGAAGTTCGATAATCATTATTAAAGAATTTGATTTTTGCAATTTGAATGTTGTATAATGAAATGTTAAAAAAAATAAAACTATCAATTCAAAATGTATCAATAAATCAATCCAATATCACGAATCTTTAGTCAGGTGATATTGACGAATTTCCATTTAGAAATTAAAATTCAAAAATTTTGAACTGCAGGAAAATTTTGTAATTTTTGATTTTTTAAACGAAAAATAATTGGATTTTCCGAAGTTTAGATAATTAAATGATTCGATTTTTTAGTTAAATAATGAAGTGATATTAAATAAATATATATAAATAATTCAAATGCGACGGTTTCGTATTGACAATGAATTTTCAAGAAAAATTCGATGATCCTTTAAATTTATAAATATGGAATAAATTAATTCAAATAATCTTGTTAAGCAAAATCTTCTAGTTACGGCCATACACAGTGAAAAGCACCGGAACCCGTCCGATCTCCGAAGTTAAGCCACTGATGGCCCAGTCAGTACTACGGTTGGGGACAACGTGGGAATACTGGGTGCTGTAACTTTTTGCTATAATTTTTTTGAACGAAAATATTAAATTAGCCTTTGTGAAGTTCGATAATCATTATTAGAGAAATTTAATTTTTTTGCAACTTAATAAGAAATTATATAGAAAATTCTATACATATTTTTACTATATATAATATTTATAATTAAAACATTACATTTTTGCATTTTGCAATCAAAAAATTTCAATCGAGGAAATTTAAACAAATTAATAAAAATTTATAAATTTATATAATTTGTTAAATTTCAAGTTTGTAATTCGGTCATAAATGGTGATAAAAGCTTTAGGAACCCGTATCTCCAATCAGTAGTACGGCGATTAGAAAATATAGCGTAAAATTTTACAGAATTTGCAATTTAAGTTATATCATTAATGAAACCAAAAAATTTCTTTTTAATTACAAATTTATTAATTTATTTCTCTGTCATTTCAATTTTCTTATATTTCTGAATAAATTGGAAGATCAAAAGGATCAAAATGAAAATTAAAATTTCAAATATAAATTTAATGGAGGATTTGAAAAGATCCAAAAAGCTATTTCCTTGATCGGATTGTAATGCATCATCCAATTCAGAGTCGGTCGTAACCTCCGAAATTGAATCTGAAGACGTATCCGATTCTAATTAAAAATCAAAGGAAATCAAAAATTTTGTCGATTAAATAATAATTGATTATTACTGTAATAAAAAAGCGGGATTACCCTTCTCCAAGAATCGTCTAGCCTTTTTTGCAAGCATTTTATCATAAATATCAATGTAATCCAAGACTATTTGACCGTTTTTATCGTGATTGGCATATAATCCAATTACCGCAACAACACTTGAATCGAATTGTTTATCAGCAAGATACTTAAGTTTCTTAACCTGACTCTTAATTTCCTTTCTATTCTCCTTAAGATGAGCTTGATTAATATGTTTAACTTCAACTACAGCCATAATTCCAACCTCAGAAATAAATAGCAAATCACCCTCAAAAGTAACATCATCCTTTTCATTTGTATAAACCCAATTATATTCATAAAAATATTTAAATCCTGGTAAGTATCTTTCTTGATTTAAGATGATTTCAGTCATAACTTCTGCCTTTGAATTTAACTCGGCTTCAAATTTCATATTGTGCTTTCTTGGGTCAAGGAACCATTTATTCATCGTTTTAATATGTGTACTCTTCAAACTTTCTACGTGGGGTATAAATGATTTTGCAGATAATGAGACTAGTTCCGTTAATAAATCATCTCGATCCCATCCAAATTCATAATATTTCTTTTTCCTTCGTGAAATCGTTTCTTTAAGGTGAACGGTAAGATTCCTTGAAACAATATATTCCCTTATGATTTGAACGATATCTTCAGGAATTTGGTCTTCAAATTTGTGTCTGTGACAAATTTTGAACATAAAATTCAATACCTTGATATCAATTTTATCCATTTTAAAATAAAAACCAAAAAAAAGAACCAAAAAAAAAAAAAAAAAAAAGTGAGGTTGAAGTGATGAAATTGACTAAAACCACGAAAGCAATATTTAGATTAAGCTTGCGTTACACGACATCGTCATGATGATCGTCAGCATTTATAGCACCGCTTATTTTTTTTTCTCCCTCATTTTTCAATAAGGAAAACGTAAAGAAAAATAAAAAAATAATGTCGGAATCTTCATTTCCAATCGAATGTTTTAATAGAATATTTAAACATATCGAGAATGATAAATCAACCTTACATTCATGTTTATTGGTAGATAGGTTGTGGTGTAGAATGATTGTACCTATACTTTGGAGTCGTTCATTTTCCTTGATTCAAAATTCAAAAAAAGACGATTCACTTTTTCCAACGGGAACCTATCTTACGTTCCTCAATGACGAAGAAAGACAACTTTATAATCATTATCCTGAATTATACCCAACGGCAAAGTTCGAGGAACATTTATTTAATTATCCGAGTTTTTTAAAAGATTTTCATTATGACCTGATCGTGATGTATTTAATTGTAAAATTTTGGGTTAAAACTAATACTAGTTTAGATATTTCAAAATATAACTGTCGGATTATAAATACAATCTCAAACAAAATTTCTCAAAGTTTATTCAAAATGTTTTTGAGAAATAATGCTCAAATTAATTTGATGAACATTAAATCTTTTGAATTTTATCCTGATTTACCTTTTTTATCCAATCTTCAAAATTCCTTTTCAGACCTTAAAAGTTTTCAATTCAGCTCTTATTTAGAACCCCTTCACGTCTTTTCAAACACGTATTCTTTTTTAAATCTTTACCTCGATCATGTAATTATATAACTCACATTTTATTAAATGTTCATTTCAAGAAGAAGGATGATAAGGAGGAATTATTCTTTAATATAATTAACGCTCAAAGAAATATTAAAAAATTTATAATTAATCCTCATGGAATCATACCGAGATCGATTCTAAATTCGATAATTCATCAAACATCATTGGTATTGGTGCATTTTAAAGAGACCAAATTTATTAATTGGTTCCCTTTTGAACTTTTATTAAATTGTGATAATTTAAAATTCCTTTTAACCGAGAATTGTCATGAGTATTGTAACGAGGAAAATTCACAGAGTGACACAGTGAAACCATGTTCGATCTCCTTAAAAGATATCAAATGTAAAGTGGACACTCTTTACATAAACAACAACAACTTTCTCCCTTTAACGATATCAAAATTAATCCAATTATCAGGAACAAACTTGACCTCTTTATGGTTGGACAGGACGAAATTTTCATCATACATCATCACATCCGAACCCCTTTCAATCCATTGTCCTAATATAACTCATTTAATATTAACCATTGATACCATCAGTTTATATCAAATCAAGAATTCCCTTTCAATTTTAATTTCTAACTTAAACCTGGAATATTTTGGAATTAGAAATTTTGGATGGACAAATGAATTGATTTCCGATTTGGGAAATTATCTTCCTAGTTCATTAAAATATTTAGAAATATCAAGTTTCTTTGATTTTGAAGCCTTATATATGTTGTTGAAAAGTTGTAAATGTCAATTAAGAGGATTGAGCATGATCTTTTTTAATGTTTTTAATGAGAATTATTTAAGCTTCATCATTGATTATGCTAAATGTAACAAAGAATTTAGGTTATTGGGCATAGATTTCTTCCTTTCCGAGGAACATAAAGGGAAAATCAAAGCTTTAAAGGCATTGAAGGAGGAAACGAATATCAAGATTGTTGATCCGGATGAATTGAAGTTGAAATCATCACCCTTGTATTTTGATTATATACGTCAAAAGTCAACATAATCCCTTTCGTCAAGAATTTGAATTTCTTTCAAAGCCTGTCTAACTCTGTCGAGGCTATCAGAATAATTTCCATACATTGCGATTAAGGATGCGACTCCAGAAAGTTGATTATCCTAAACAGGTATGAATTTTACTTTAATTTTTTTATTTTTCCAAAATCATTTCTCGGTAATGATTAAAATACATACAATCTTTTCATCAGTGATATCATGATTTTTTATCCATGAAATACTCTCCATATCATTCGGTAACGATGCGATACTTTGTGTAATTTTAGGAAATAATTCTGAAAGTGCGCTAGATATCAATTAAAATGAGGGGGGAAAAAATAGATTAAAAATTTTTTCTTGAATTAAAAAAAAAAAAATTCAAAAATAAATGCCTGTGATATTCTGGTTCGATATTTATATGTTCACCGACGAAAGGTTCTTTAAGTCTCATCAACAAAGATTGTTTGTGAGACATTATAGAAGCGATATGTTCGTTGAAATTTGATAATATCTTGATCTTTTTCTCTAAAATTGAGGAGTTAAAAAAAAAAAAGAATAATATATTTTAACGAAAAAAAAATAACGAACCGATCTCAGACTTTTTGACTAAATCGAAACTCTGTTGAGAATCTTTAATTTTGGTGAGCACTTCTTGAATCTAAATCCAAAGTAATCATTCGAAAAAAATAAGTACAAAGGTGTAAAACAAGTCATTTTCAAATAGTTTAGATGCTTGCCTGGTAAACATTATCATGAAGGATGAGAATCTCTTTTAACAATTTCGCTAATTGTATTGATGATTCTGTTTGCGAAGTAATAAATGTAACTGGTCCCTATTAAAAAAAATTGGTTTATTTTATTTAATTTTTTTTTTTTTAAAAAAAAAAAAAAATAATATAAAATTCAAAATTCAAAATTTGGGATTTACAGTCGTATATTCAACTTTTTTAACGATTTCCAAGACATTATTAAGCGTTGTTGGCGTGTTACTTGAAATTTTAGTTGTGTTCGGGAGGTAATACCTTGACATGATTGCAAGTGAAAAATTTGTAGATTTGTGAGAGATTTTAAATGTTATAAATTTTACCAATAAGGAATTTCAAAGCGTGTGCGATTAACTGATTAGGGGCGTAAAAGCACGTGTAATCAAAAGGAACTTTTTAGGAGAGACGCAATTGGTTCTTTAGAACAGAAAATTAAGTTTAATTCATTTTGATAATGAAAGTTTTAAATATGATTATTCAATTTAATGAGGAATTGATTTTACGTGAAGAATAATTTATAATGCTTGGAAGAAAAAACAGAGGACGGGATTTTTTGAAAGGTTAAAAACGGGAAATAAAATTTTAAGGTATGACTTGGTCTGTGCGCTAATCTCGTGTACCGAATCCTCCTCGATGTGATTTCCAATTTCATACAACTTTTTTTTTTACAATATAAATGAACAGGATGTTTAATACCGCAAATTCAGTTATTACCATATATCACGTGATGATCTAAACATAATTGTGGAGACGAATACTTCATAGATTATATAACGCACTTGGGAAACAAAACCGTATACAAAAAAATATTTAAATTAACATTTTTTAAAAAGGATATTTTATATATTAAAGATTGATAATTTGATATTTCGAACTTTTTTTCGAAACAACAAAAAAGGATATGATTACATCATCAAACTTATTAGACGACTGTGAACCATATAAGTTTAACAGAAGACTTTTTATGGTGTTAATTGGAACGCATTGAAAGTAACTCTTTTTAAATTATTTGTTAGACAATGAGAAAAAATTTTCCCAACCTTGCATAAATTCACAAATGTTATACATGTATATACCTAAAATACACTTCAAAACCAAAATTATCACTCAAAATGTTCTACCGACAATAAACGAAGAATTTATCGTATAAGTATAAGTACCACCGTTTGTTAAATTGTTTTAGAAGACGTGTAATCTTTTTGGCATGGAATATGGCTAATTTCGCATTATAAAAAGGAAGCATGTTATTGTTATTTTTTTTTAAAAAAAGTTAAATAAATAAATAAAGTATATTTGGTCGTTCGTCCCTTAAAAAATAGATTAGACTCATCGACACAAGATAATGAACTCTCATGTACGCCTTTTTTTAAAGTTTATGGTTAAAATGTATGGTTCGCTTAATAATAAAACGCCAAAATCATTTATGTTCAAAATTTATGCGAAATCTTACTCGTCTTAAAGGTTGAAAATCATATTAAATTTTGTACTTCATTAAAGCATCATTCATCAAAACTTGCTATTGAAAGATAAATTACAAATTATGATGAATGATAGCTTCTCTAAACCATTTTGAGAATTCTTTTATCCATGTGCCTTTTTTTTTGATGAGATATAATAATAATAATAAAAATGAATCTTAATTTGATCTAAAATACACAGGACATTTCTATGAAAAGGTAGTTGATAAATTGTCAGAATACAAATTTTCACATAATAAAGGTCATTCGATATATATAAGCAACCGTTCTAGCGAGATTAGCGGATGGTTTAACTTTTTAAACCTTGTCAAGACATTCAGAAAAAAAAAAAGTGGTCTTATCATGAAAAATCATATGAAATTCGTCTGATCAAAAAAAAAAAAAAAAAAGGATCGACGTTTAATGCCATTATGCCATTTGCAAAAATTCGTAAAAAAAAAAAATAGATTTGATTGTAATCCATAAATAAAGTTTTGAGTTCACAATATACATGCACTTATGATAAGCCTAATATAATAAATGCTGAAATGGGTTTCGGGTATTGAAACTTACGGTTACCTTCAACTTTCCGACACCGCTCCGTCACCACTCTGCCGATAAATAGTGGGTGATTATTTCCCCAATGGAGAATTCATTTCGTTTGAATGAATTAACCTTATTGGGGAATCCGCTTATTTGATTCTTGTCGCGTGACTCTTCCTTCACTTTAAATGTCGGATTTTAATTTCAGGTTAAGGGCATTGTGTAAATGTTTGTGTACTAAATATTAATTTGTACCACCTTTGGTGCAGATTTTATATATTTAGAAAATTTTCCGGAGACTTTGATAACAAAAAAATAAATTATGTCCTCTTATGTTAAAATTCCTTCGCACCTTAAACCTTCCGATCCACAGGGTTCGGATTTATTGGCCCAAGAACGAGCTACGGTTACGTTCGATGTAAAAAAACTTACCCTTTTTTTGTATGGTAAAAAGAATTTGGACCGTTATCATGAAATTTTAAGGATAGTTGAGAATGACCCTGCTTTCGATAAAACAAATGTGTATTTTATGGGACGAAATGAATTATTTAAACATGCGTTAAAAAAGGAAAAAAGGCTAGTCCAATTAATTAAGTACATATCTTTTGATAAGATATAATTCATTTACTTTACCATTGAAAATAAACCATTGAAAAAAAAATAAAAAAACATAACAATTTCCGATAATATTTCTAGAGAAAACGAATGGAAAGTAGAACAAATTCAATTCGCTGAATGGTTCCTTGATATGCCGGGACCGGTATGTGTTTATATATGCATACGTTTATCTCATTCGTTTATTTTTTCTAATTCGAAAATTTGAAAATTTGAACAGTTTGGCGTTCATCGAGGAATGTTTATACCAACTTTAATTAGTCAAGGAACGGAAGAACAAAAGAAGGAATTTCTTATTCCGGCTTTGCAATATAAAATTCTTGGATGCTATGCGCAAACTGAATTAGGTCACGGTTCCAATGTCCAAGGATTGGAGACAACCGCCATTTACATCTCAGAAACTGATGAATTCGAAATACATTCTCCTTATTTGACGGCTTCAAAATGGTGGATTGGAGGTTTGGGAAAAACTGCGTATGCATTATTCATTATGTTTGCCGGCATCACGATAAATGATTCATTAAACTAACCGTATTTGATCCCACAGTAACCATGCGATAGTTATGGCTCAGCTGAAAAGTAATGGGAAAACCTATGGTCCTCATCTTTTTGTCGTTCAGATTCGAGACATGGAAACGCATCAGCCTTTGCCTGGCATTACAATCGGAGATATTGGTCCTAAATTTGGGTAAATATTGTTGTCTGTAAACGTGCGTTATTTATTTTACCTGTTCTTTTAATGGGTATCTCATATGTTTTCCCTCCTTTTTAGTTTTAATTCTATCGATAATGGATTCGTTCTCTTTGATCATGTCCGAATTCCACGATTCAATATGCTTTCCAAATTCTCGCAAATCAAAAAGGGGACAGGAGAATACATAAATCCCCCGAACGATAAATTATCTTATGGCAGCATGGTATTGGTTCGTGCCATAATCATTTCGAGTGTGCGTTTCGCACTCGGGCGCGCTGCCACGATTGCAATTCGCTATTCTGCTGTACGAAGACAATTTGTCGACAAGGAGGAACCAAAAAAATTGAAAGATGGGTAAGGGAACTAAAAAAAAATGAGATGAGTTGGATTATCTTTTCTTTTTTTTTTTATAACATGTAGCACTATCTATTTAGTCGTGTAGTAGAAACTTCCATATTGGATTATACAATGCAACAATATCGATTGTTCCCTGTAGTTGCTCAAGCATACGCGTGTATCTTTACGGCCAAAGCCATGACCGATCAATACGCAGAATACACGACAATGAGTTTTGTTGGGGACTATTCTCTGTTAACAGACTTGCACGCTTCAAGTTCAGGTTTGAAATCCTTGACAACTACAATGGCGGTAGACTCGATTGAAGAATGTAGGAGAGCGTGTGGTGGTCATGGTTATTCAAGTTTTAGCGGTTTTGTCAAATTTTATCAAGACTATTTACCAAATACAACTTGGGAAGGTGATAACTATATCTTGACTCAACAGACCGCTCGTCATGTGAGTGTGATGAGAATCGTGCCCTTGCTTTCTTTGTCTTTTTTTTTTTCCTTTTCAGACGAAACATTTTGCTCAATTTGAATTCGCTTATTTACAGCTCTTTAAAACTTTTCGTAAAATTTTATCGAGCAAAGGTGCTGAAGCGCACGCGTTTCAATCTGAAAAGAATCAAATGGCATACATCCTACAATATCTTAATGACCCGAATCATAAATGTACGGCGACAACAAATTTGGATTTTAAAAATCCCGAACTTCAATTGAGAGCGTTTGGCCATCGAGCGGCCTATTTAATTGCAAATGCAGTGGATCAAATCGATAATCACAATAGAACATGGAATTCCATGCTGATCGAGATCAACAGAATATCACGTGCACACTGTCAATATCTAATGATACGAAATTTTATACTTGCGATGCAAAACTCACGTCAAAGCGAAGATGAAGGGCTACGAATGTTACATGGCATTCCTTCATTAAAAGAGGCCATGTTATCCATTTGTAATCTATTCGCATTACACACGATGGAAAAGGACTTGGGGGATTTTATGGAATGTGAATATTTAATTCCATCACAAGCGAAATTGTTGAAAGCTCAAATTTATAATTTGTTAAAAGAAATTAGGCCAAATGCTGTTGGACTGGTCGATGCATTTCTTATTCCGGACTTTTTGTTACTTTCGGCTATTGGGAGGTATGATGGAAAAGTTTACGAGACTATGATCGATTGGGCCTCCAAGGAACCCTTAAATGGTATCACTTTGAATGTTAATCCTGATAGTGATGTATTATTTAGAAACGAAAAAAGTTATGAAATAAAGGCTAAACTTTAAAAAGGATGTTAACACGAATCATAAAGTACTAAAAGGAATGAATGCGCATTTAAATTTTTTTTTGTTGGTAAACATAAATAAAAAAGAAGTATTTAACAGGAATGAATAGTTGTTTGGTAACACAAATTTCCAAAAACTGCTCGTCGTACTCATGGAAAATCTCAGCATGGGAAGTTAATTTTTTGTTAAAAATCATAATTTAATAGAATTTTAATATCAACAAGATTAACCGATTGGAAAAAAAGGAAAAAAAGGCGCGTGGAGAAAGATAAATAAATAAGATCGCGTGGCCATCTTTCGATTTCTATTCATGATTAGATAACAACAAAAACAAAAAGGGAACGAGCCAAAGCAAAAGTTCGCATGAAGTTTTGACATTTCTGGTTTTTCGACAAGTTGCGAGAATAATAAATAATGCGCAGCCCCACGTAATCCGGTTAATTATCCGGAATTCTACACACAGCCGGGACCTTTAAAAAGTTTCATTTCTGACAAACTAAGCGAAAAGAAGTATGCCTTACAACATAACATGTGAACATTATTTAATTTTGTGTTAATTATTTGCTTTTTGAATGGATTATTTGATTTCGATACCTATGTATTGTTGCATATTTGTAATGAAAGTGCAGTGATACTATTTAAATTCAGTAACACGTTTAATTCATAATTAAATTGTTACAAGTCCTTTGCAAGCATTTATGCAATATTTAGCAAATCCGAACGTAAACAAATCAAGCCAATCATGGTCGTCCACTCTCCCGTTATGATGGTTGCTGCGCCAATGCTGCGGAAATGCTTGGTTTTTGACATTTTGGTCGCGGAAAAAAATTTCCGAGTTTAGATGATATGATATTTTGGATTTTTTTTAAAAAAAATGATCCTTAAACAGGTTGAAATCAATCCGCATTTTTAGATAAAGCAAGTTTATGTCAAAACCGACCTTTTATACAAAAAGAAAAGGAAAATATACATGTCACATTTTGTGATCTCCGTCTTACCAGGACACCAATCCCAACTTTTATTTCCTTCATCGGTGTGAGCTTCACCGTCTAAAAACGATAATTTTAGAATAAAAAAATAAATAAAAAACAAACCGAATAAAGCTTAACGCCCCAAACTTGAAAGTGAATGGACCATCCCTCCACCCCTTATTATATATATAACAAAGTATAATAAAGTTATCGGACTAATCATGTAGTGAACATAATTCACAACCTTTTGCAGTTCAATAAGTAAAGTAATAAAAAAAAAAATTGTTGCTGCGCATCCAGCATCCAGCAATTAACATTTAATGGTTTAATATAGGCATTTAATAAATATATTTATTTTTTTCGTATATATATACACTCGGTTATGGACGTATAAAAGTTGAAAAAAATAAATAAATAAATAAATAAATAAATACCGTACAAATCCTATCTATAAATTGAGATAAACATTTTGCATTATTTTTTTTTTTTTTACTCCTTACTGTTAACAATTTAAGTAAAATAAGGAATCTTATATAAATTTTAAATTAATTTACTACTCCTATTTCACTTGGAATTTATTTCGTCTCACTCTCTTGAAGAGGAGCTTTTTTTTTTTTTTGTCCTATATATAAGGCCGCACCTAATTTTCTTGTAGAATGGATGTTCCTTCCGTAACGACTACAACTGAGGTTAACAACTTGTCACCAAATTTAATAAAGTTAGTTGGTCATTTCTTTGGTTCATCTTTCAGGCAAATTTTCATTAATATCATTTTTTTTTTTACATGGTTTCTCTTTACTATATATAGAAAATATCTTAATGCGGGTAAAAAATGTTCAGGAAAAAAAGAATCAGGGAGTTTTCTCAACAGTACTTTTCTCAGTGCGTATCTGACCCTAAAATAATTCTTTGATTTTTTTATTTTCTTTCATTTCATTCATTTTCTTTCATTTTCATGAGATAGGCATTGCAAGAATTCATCATACATACACATATATAAATACATAAAAAACATGTGCTAACAGCAAAAATTTTTTTTCTCTTCTTTTTTTTTTAAAACAAATCTTATGCTAGGTTAGAATTAGATTCATCACAGCAGCCAACGTTAGTTTCAGATATCCTTGAGGAAATCTTTTCGTTAATTGCGGAAACGGATTCTTGTTCGACAACCTATCATTATTATGATCACGCAACTTTAAAGGATTTATATTCTTGTACGTTAGTAAATCGTCAGTGGTGTGCAAGTGCGGTAAGGATATTGTGGAAAAGTCCATTTAGCTCATTTCATAATGGAGGGCATAAATTAATCACGACGTATTTAAGAGGGTTAGATATTGAGGAACGAAGAGATTTGAAACTTAAAGGGATAAAATTGCCCACGGTTTCCCCGATACCCATGTTTAACTATCCTTCATTGATACGTCACCTTGATTACGGCGAGATGTTGTATGCCGTGGAAGTTTGGTGTTCTAAATTACCAAGGAGACGGCCACATGCTGTTATATCCGTTATGAGGGTTTTATTAAGGTTATTCTTGCATAATGCCGGTCCTTTATCATCATTGAAACTTGCCAGCCTCGGAGAGGATTATCATAATGAGAGGGTTATGATTTTAGCAGAACCGGAGATTAAAAGTTTAATCACTTCGGTTAAACTGCTTTCTCTTGATGGGTTTGACTATAATCAACATGGTTTATTGGTTAGGTTACCGGATTTATGTAAAAACATAGAGTATTTACATCTTCGCGGTTGGTACGGTCATCATCCGCAGAACGAAGGCACGATAACATCATTACAAAAGGACGCCGCAGCAATCTCGCTACGTCGGTTAATCAAAGCGCAGAAATCATTAATATCATTAGACATGATCGATTGTAAAGCCTATCTTGGTCATATAATATCAGCCTTGGATACGCAATCAATCTCATTGAGACAAATGAAATTTCGATTGGTGGATTTTAAAGATTGTGGACCGTGGGATGGACTGGCGACTTGTCACCGGTTAAAAAAATTGGAATTTTGGTTTTGTAAAGGGATCACTCAAAAGATGATCAATCCTTTAATTCACGGTACCTTTCCTGAATTGGAAGAGGTGAAAATGTTGCAATACGGAAAATCTTGTGAGGAGTTCAGAATTTGGATAAATAACATGAATGGTACTATCAACAAGGAAGAAATTTTAGAGGATTCTATGGATGATATAGCGGAGTCTCAGGATGATTCCTGATTTGTAAAAAAAAAAAAAAAAAAAAAAAAAAACATTCCCCGATATATGCATATCATATATCAGAGTAATGCCATTTTTTTTTTGGCATAAATTATTGTAATCACATTTTTTAACCAATTCATTTAAAAAAAAAATTTCATTGAATAGATATTTACATAAATAAAATAAATAAAAATATCTATATATTCGTTATTAAAAATTAATTTTCAAAAAAACTTTAAAAAAAAAAAAAAAAATAGTTTTGAAAGGATAAAAATTTTTAATTTTTTTTATTATTATTAGCATTAAATTAAAGCATTACTTAAGTTGGGGAATTAGAATGTCAGATATGAATGTACATTGGGTTTGAAAATCATATACGCACGTCATTTATTGTCGTGTAGCTAATAGTTTTATATAATATAATAATATACATATATATATTTCTTTTGAAATCTAGGGCGATGATTTTTTTAATAAAATAACCATCATGATGATTTAAAAAAAAAATTTTTTTTATACTATTGAGATCTGCAACAATACCCCTATTGATTTAATTACTCCTGAGTGGGAAAATTTTTTATATCATTTATCCAAAATTGAACGAGAACAATTTTACGCATGACTGCGCCGAATGCGTATCTTCACTATTTGTTATACACATGATGTTTTTGTTGAATCATACGACCTGCGGAACTTACGACATTCCCAAAATAATAAATCAGATCATATTGTTGATTGTAGCGAGATCTAAAAAAAAAAAAAAATAAATAAAATAAATAAAATCGCCCACGTTTTCTTTTTGGATTTAAAAAAAAAAATTTAAATCAATCGATAATTGACAAATCCCTAAACACGCAAAAAGACAAAAAAAAAAAAAAAAAAAAAAAATGAAAGCACCTGTTTACATTCCATCGGACATAATCGAAGAGATTTTATTTTTCATTCAAGTAGATCATGGTTCGGCAAATAATCAACTCACAAATCACGTTGGGCCAACATTATATTCATGTCTATTAATAAACCGTCAATGGTGTCGATTGGTCGTTCCCAAATTATGGAAGCATCCCTTTTATTATGCATGGAAAGGGAATGAAAAATTGATTTCAATGATCCTATCATTTATAAAGGAGACTAATAGGAAACCCTTGATTTGTAAAGGAATCATTTTACCATCAATTAATCAAGGATCAACCTTTGATTACATCTCAATGATAAAACATTTACATTATGATTATATGTTAACCTCCGTTGAATCATGGTGCGAAAATCTGATTCATTCACCTGGAAATAATAATGTCTCGATGATCATCAAGACCTTATTGAGACTTTTTGTTGACAAATCTGTTAAATTGAAAAGTCTCTTCATCTGGCCAAATAACGTTTATTGGCGTCATTACAGTCTAAATAGGTACATGGAATTGATTGAACCTGAATTCAATGTATTACTAAAGAATTTAAAAAATCTTCATGTGGAAACGCATTCTCATTATCCATCTGCAAAATTCTTTCAAAAATTATCTTTAATTGTCCGTAATGTGGTAAGTTTTGAAAGAATCTTGATTGATGTTGATGTTGATTTTTTTTTTTTTTTGTTACAAGTTCTGTTTTAAAAAATTTTCTCTTTATAGGAAAAAATTCATTTGAGAACTCCACTTTTGGGTTTAATGGGATTCCCAAATGATATGGAGGCTGGAATCGCAAAAAATTTGTGCACATTAATACAATCTCAAACCAAATTAGAGGAATTTAAATTGATGAGCTCCATCAAATTCACTTCGTTATTTATCTCATCATTATCCGTACACACCGATCATCTCAAGAGCATAACATTATTTGAAACAAAAATTGATGAGGTGAATTCTTGGAAGATTTTAACAAATTGTTTGAACCTTGAAAGATTTGAAATAATTAATTGTGTTGGATTACATTCCGACTTGATTTCCCCCTTTTATAATATCAATAACTGTAAGAAATTAAAATGGATTTCAATAGAAAAAAATCAACCTAATGAAATCAATGATGATCTGAAAACTTGTGCTATTCACAAGTATAAAAATGACAATGATAATTTTAGGTTTAGGTTATTGAAAAGTGGCAAGTTATTATTAAAAGACATTTGCAATGATATCAACAATAATAAAAGTTATAACAATAATAATGTAATATATTAAAATAAAGTGTAAATAATTTTTAAGTGTAAATTTGTTTTAAAACAAAATGACATCACATCATAATAAAAAATAAAAAATTTTTTTTTCTATTTATAATCCAATGAATTTTTTTTCTCAAGTACAACAGTTTTTTACTTTTGCCAAATTACCAAAAAATATTTTCTTTTGACCATAGAGGTAAGTTATTTTCATACCGATTTTATAAATTTCATTCTATCTTTCCTTTTAGATTTTTCTTCAGGTTACACATCCATGAAAATATTTCATGTTACCTCATAAAAATGATAATAATTACAAAATCACTTGCTGTTTGCAAAATTTTTTTTTAACCATTGAATATATATATTTTTTTTCTTTTCTCATAATTTGTTGGTAATTTCAGCATACATTGCATCAATTTCTTTTTGGAATTGCAATTTAGCTTGATGTCTCTTTAATTTAAAGGTTGGTGTAAGCAGATTATTCTGAATGGAAAATTGTTCAGGAGTTAAATAAACATTTTTGACACATTCAAAACCCTTCAAATCATTTGCCTTTCCATATTTAATAAGGGTTTGAAGAAAATGATTTTTAACTTTGACATCTTTACAAAGTTCTTCATAGGATAGGCCTTCAAAACCATTTTGTTTGGCCCAATGCATAAGAACTTCTTCATCAGGAACGATAATGCATATTAATGAAGCTTGTAAAGAATCCCCATAAACAAATACTTGAGAAACGAGTTCATGTTTACAATATATGCTTTCAATCTAAAAGATGAAAAAAATTAATTAAAAATATTATAACATCAAAAAAAAAAATTAGGTTTTATTTTATACCTTTTCAGGGGCAATGTATTCGCCCTGTGCCAATTTAAAGATATTTTTGACGCGATCGACGATCTTTAAACGTCCCTGATCATCCCACTGTCCGATATCACCGGAGTGACACCACCCATCTTTATCAAGGGTCTCGGCAGTTTTATCAGGAAGTTTATAATATTCACGGAAAACTGTATGACCTCGAACGCAAATTTCACCTCGGGGATAAGGTTTATCATTAGACGTGTAATTCATTTCTGGTACATCTACCAATTTAACCTCAACGGAAACTTGTGGTGGTCCAACATGACCCGACGAAGTATCACCAATCAATGACTTTTTCAGTAAAAGCGAAAATAAAAAATTATTAACTTTATGTTTCTCGTATGATCATTTAAAACAAAAAGGATCAATTCATGTGATACTTACTATAGTTAAACAAGCAGCATTTTCCGTCTGACCATATCCTTCAAATACTTCGGCGGAGAATGCAATCCTCAAAAAGTCCATGACATCAGGTGCAATTGGAGCCGAACCTGACAAGATATATTTAACTCTACCACCGAGTCGAGCTCTAATTGGAGCAAAGACCACGCGATCCCACATCCAGTGATCGACGCTTCCTTGATTCAAGCCGCTTTTTTTTGAGTTAAAAGCGGCGGTAAACATCCATTGTGTGACACCACCCTTCGTTTTCACACCGGCCATCACTTTATCGTAAATACGATTAAGTAAACGTGGCACCGAAATAAATATAGTAGGTTTCAATTCATCAATATCATCCAATAATTTCAAGGTATCACCTTGATAGAAACCGATCGCCGAACCTCCATAAATCATCGTGGCCATATTAGCTAACTCAAACACATGAGCTAATGGTAAATAAGAAAGGTGTACATCGTATGGAGTCGCCTTAAACATTTTGCCCCGATCCGCAAGCCATCTAATGCTGGCAACGTTCGCCATGAAATTCTTATGAGTCAGCACTACACCTTTAGGGGTGCCAGTTGTACCAGAAGTATAACCGATAATTGCAACGTCATCAGGTTTAGCATTCTCCGCTTCGATGGGTTGAACGGAACCAACCTGTTCAACATCCGTGAAATTTAAAATATTCACATCAAGCGCATCCGCGAGATCATTAAATTCTTGGTCAATTGTATCCAAAATGATGATGGTTTGGATCGTCGGTAACGCTTCCTTCATGTCAAGAAGCACACGACCTTTGTTAACCGTGGCTAAACAATATTTCATTTCAGTTTGGTTTATGATATGTTCAAGAGCTTCGGCGCCCAACGTATCATACAAAGGAACTGGGATGAAATTATATTGATAACTGGCAAGTTGCGCCATTACATATTCAGGATTGTTAATTGAGAAAAATCCCAAAGGTTCCTTAGGATTCAAACATATCTTTCTCAACCCAGAACCAAAATTAGCAACCCGTTTTTGAACCATATTGTATGATTCCCAAACATAAGGCCCTACGATTCCATTCTTAACCTCTCGATGTCCCAAGAAATTTCCGTCACCTATTATTAAATTGACAAATGAGATCTTTTTTTATTTTTATTTGTTTTTAAAAATCAAAAATGAAAGGTATAATAATTCCAGAACATTTTACCTGCTTGTTTGACTCCATGTAAAAAATTTTCATATAGAGTGGTAGCTTCATCAGGATGAAGGATGAGCTTATCAGGGGAAAGAGCATTTCGACGAGGTTTACTCTCTCCGTGAATGTCAGGCGCTCCGGCAACCTCAATCGAATATTGATGTTTTTGTGTCGAAACACTCATTTTGATTATAATTTTAATTAATTTTTGGAGGGAAGGCTTTTTTTTAGGAAGGAATTTATTTATGGGAATATTTATTAACGGATCACATAACCACGTGATTATTACTAAATTAAGAAGTCTCCCAACAAGAAAGGGTGCGACTCCAAATAAACAAAACCCTATCATTATTCCCCATTTTCTGTTGCATACCATTTGATTTCACTTTCTTATTTTTTTTTACTTTTCATATTTTCTAAATTTTTGTTGTAATCTCCAGAGTGTGTATTATCAAAGTTATTGTCATATCTATGGCAATATAAACCATTGTCTCTAACATCCAAAAATGGAAAATGCGATATGAGGGGATAAACCTATCGTATGATTTGCATGCAGACCTTGTTATACAGGAAATTACAGTAAATGGGTTGAAAATTAATTATCTGATTAAAAAAATTTCACACGATTTGTCATTTTCGGGCTACTCAGTTCGGAAATTCTACTTTTGATCCGACTGCTATAAAAGAATTCCTTTTGCATGCATTCACATTTGTCAACCGCAGCAAGGAGCTCGTGCATTTATTTTTTTTTTTTTTTTTTTTTTTTTTATTTTTAATTAATTTTTTTTTTTCATTTCTATAACCCTTTTTTTGGACTCATCAAGTTTCATATGTCATTTTGCATAAAGTTTCAATATGTACAATTTAAGGCATGCATATTTATAGTTGGACATTTTTTTTGATTTCGATCTGCAGGGTCAAAATTATTTTTTCACTGGTTTATTCCGGATTTTTTTTATTAAAGAACCGGTTTATTGAGAATGTGAAAATCATTTAATCAAATCATTGATAAAGTTATGATAAGTAAATTTGAAAATTTATACTTTTTTAGGTAATGGTACAATTTGTGGCACTGCCGCACAAGCATTTTCTGAATTACGCGAAATCAGAAACAAGAATGAAACGTGTTCTTTCTCCTTCTAGCGCTATAGAAAAACATGAATTTTCTTTGTTGGTATTAAAAAAAACGAGTTTTTTTTTCTTGTTTGACAACGACGTCAAATTGGATCGCAGATATTATATTTCAAAAAGGACATGAATTTGATGAAACCTGTGTAGCCACATTGCCACACGAAGCTAAAACGATGTTATTTCATACTCTAATGAAAGCATTGACCAGCTTCTTTGAAAGATGGCGTATTCGCACATACGTTTTGAATGCTTATCCGGTATAAACGGATGTTTGACATTGTCGTGATTGGATGGTTTGACCCTTCGCGATAATTACGAGACCATTGTCCAATAAAATATACGCACACCGCAGCATGAACGTTCAATTGAAGCAATAAACCTATATACGTAATATTTTTGGTTAGCTTGCCCCATCCTTTTTATTTCTATCCTTTTTTTATGTAAAACAATTTACAATACAACAATGATAGCATTACACAATTGAATACTTGACGTTTATATAAATTTGACATATAAATCTAATCTTTTTTTTTTTATTTTATCTTTCATAAATAAATTTTTTTTTTTAAAAAAAAAAAATAATAATAACTTAAATTCTTAATTAATATAAACAAATAAATCATAAAAAAATTTTTTTTGGGTAATTCGTACATGAATCATTTTTTTTTTTTGCTCCCGATAAATTTTTCTAAAAAAAAATTTCTCTCCTTTTTTTTTGTTTTGTTTTTGTTTTTTTTCGCTTTTGGCTTTTGTTTTTGTTTTTGTTTTTGTTTTCGACGAAGTGTGTATATATACATATATATAAATTTAGAAACTTTTGTTTTTTTTTGTATTTTTTTTTCTATATATAATATTTAAAAAATCCTTATTGTTGTGTGTTACTTTTTTCGTTTTTTTTTTTTTATAAATTGTGGTTTATGGTTTTTTTCTTTTTAAAAAAGAAAAAGCTTAGGAAGAAGAAGAATTTCGACGACGACGTCGACTATTCATCATATCCGCCCACGCCTCCAATTCGTCACCAATTTCATACGGCTCACAAGCATAAACCCAGACTTTCTTTAGATTGCGATGGTGAGATTTTAAAAGGGGCGAAATCATATTTAAGTCCATGTTGTAACATTCTTTAATATCCAACCTTTCTAATTTCGTGCAAGACTTTAAAACATCCCATTTACAACATCCCTCAAAATCAATTCCACGAAATTCAATGTGTTTTAAAGTGCGCTTTTGCTTTACTAATGAGGGGATAACTATGCCGATAAATGCTTTACAACGAGAGAAGACTATCTTTTTTAACCCTCGTTGAGATTCTATAAGTGTACCCAATTTTTTTGCTGTGTGAATTGATATATCATCATATGCGCTCAAATTATT